GAGGGGGGGGGGGGGGGGGGGGGGAGTCAGGCTGAATGCAGGAAAATTCAATGTCTGAAAAACCGACCGGGTCAAGGGTTAAAGGTTCTAACCAATGATTAAATAAATAAACCTATCATAAAAGTTGACATAAACAAGCTAATCAGTGAGAACGATAAGAGGAAATTTTTTTTTCTCGAGAAAAAGCCAATCGGTTGAATGGTTCCTTGGTCAAACTGTTCGATAAGTCTATTGGACGTTAATTGGTCTATTCCTAGTTTTTAAATATAGCGGTTTTTAGCAATAACTGGACTGGTTCCCGGGTTTTTTCCTGCCCGGTGTCAAGAACATTAGGAAAATCTGGTCCCATTTTCCAGGAAGTGACTTTGAAATTCAAAGAAAAAACTCAAGGAGTCTAAACTATAAACTATGCAAAGGGACATCAAAATTGTGAATAAGCATAAAATTTTGCTTTGTACAAGCCTTCCGACTTTTGTTGTTATATTTTAGTGAATTCCAGTTCCAAGTGGTTACAAACCAAGTACCAAACAAAACCCTAAACCTACATATGAGTGTCAAATCCAGAAAACCCATTATTTATCAACTATGGAAAGAAAAATGACCTCGCTGGTGCTCCATTCAACGCGGATAATAAATGTAAATCTAATTTGAATAAGGTCATGCTCATAGCTGACAGGATTTTAGCTATACGAGGCTTAGTAACCAGTTGGCAGCAAATGATAGAGGCGCGAGTTTTCAAGCTGTAGTTCTTAGTTCCAATATAGTCCAGCTGAAGTACCTGTGCAGAGCCAAGATCAAATATATTTCCAGCAAAGATTCCTCTAACCAGATTCTGAACACGCTTGGTCTGATCCTCAATAGCATCATTAAGATCAACTACATCTTTAAATAAGGTTATTGCCTTGGCATTTTCTTCATCCTATATCACAACAAAACATGATCAATCATAAGCCTGTTTTATTGTTCCAGCGGTTAAACTAACAAAAAATAGATAAAAGGAGACAAGTGCTGTCAACTTTGGGACATCAAAACCAAGCAACATAATCAGTATGCCTTTGAAATTGTTTTCTAGCATTATAGACCACATTAAAGCATTCCTGCTAAGGACATGATTCGGTCACGAGAAAATTACCTTAACTTTTTTGAATATGTCTCTGAATCCCAGTTCTCTCAGGACTTGCTCACGAATCTGGCAAAGTAGCTAGAAGGGACATGGAAAAGGAGACCAATAAAGCTTCTTTTACATCAATATAACTTTATCAACCAAACAAAAGTTCGAAAAAAGTTTATGAATTGACTTACAATGCAATCTGGTGGGCCACCATGGCTTTCAGGATCTTTCTTTAAATCCTCGAGTATTTCCTCATATCTTTGATGGATCATTGACGGGAATGGGGAGGTGAAGAGTTGAAGAATGAGAAAGCATTATGCAAATATAGAGATGTTCAAGTAAGAAGGTAGGTAAACTCTTTAACCTTAAAAATCATTACTAATCAAAAAAGATACATTGCATCCCTTGCTAGTTAGGAAAAGTATACATTCAGGTGCATTAGTTAATTACTTAATATAAGGTTGCAATGAAGTTTAGGCAAGAAATGTACTCAAAGATGGATAGCTAAATTTATGGTAGGAGAATGAAAAAATTTACCAATAGAAACATAGAAGCAGGCATCGATGAAGAGAAGCATAAAGTTGTTAGATAAGGTCATTTGTATATCATTTGAAAACCCTACACTGGATACATTTTTTTCGTTTTTCCAATCAAAGCCTTAAAGGTGCATAATTTTCAATTTTTAATAAATGGCTAATAGCAATACTTGAACACAGGACATTTGTATACCTTATCTTCAACAAAATGGGTAATTTTGTACAGTAATAAATAGAATAGAGTTAAGTGAGTATTTGAAGTACCTTTGAGCAAATTTTTCGGCTCTGGCAGGAGCATCAGGAACTGTATCATCACTCTCGGCACGCTTCCTGCAACGAAGTGTTAATTGGTGGGGGTAAAACGTAAAATAGTAACGAATCAAACAAATAATAACTGGGAAATGCATAGATGGTACTTGAAAGAGGTAACTGAATTAAGGAAGAGGTTGATCCAAGAGAGCTCAGTCGGCGTAGGCTTCTTCGGATTGTCGGATGCGAACCTGTACGGAATTGTGCACGCCCTATAATTCGACTCGTTCAGCAGTGGAAACGGTACTAATTCCCCTGTGCTCTCCATTCTTCTACTTAGCCGACTCACTGTGTTTGCACTATCGCGATCTGCAATTTGTATCAGAGCTTGTATTGACACGGGGTTAGTTACGTTGTTACTTTTTAATTACATGTTTGGTAGCAATTTTTTGCTCAAAAAAGTCAATTTTTTAATTGTTATTTTACTATTTCATTCGTCATTTTTTACTTCTTCACTATAGGTGGTACCCGCTTTTTCTTGTAACGATCAAAAATTCAATTATCATAATCATCGAACAAGCCCTAAAACTTTATTACCACTTAATAACATAACTTCGTCAAGTGTTACAAATTCATAATAATTGAACTTAACAATGTATCATAATATCATAATGGTCACTAAACTATGCACTGTGTTACATATTCATCGCTCAAGGAAAAATTTGTTAAATTCATCAAACGACGTCGACTTGAATAATGAATGAATAATATGGTGCATATTTCAGTGACCAATGACAAATATTTTTAAGTTTAGTTATGAATCAAATAAAATGAAGAGAAACAAATGGAAGCAGAATATTAGATACTTATAAATTGAATAAAAGTAGAACTTTTGCTGATGTCCATCCATCACAATAAAAAGTATGTTTGATTTTTAGATCAACTCTTATCAATTCACCATATCTCGAACTTCGTATAAAAAGATTGATAAAGAAAAAATAGGAAAACTGGAAGAAATTAACAAAGAATAATTAAATAAAAATACAAAAGAGTGTGAGTTAGTGCCAATGTAGC